ATCATCATCATCATCATCATCTGTATTTCAGTGGATTGGGCATTATACTATTTCATATGTTACAGCTTTTCTGTGGACTGTCCAAGTGGTTGCACATAGAGTATCACGTATAGAGGCTTTTTACTTGTGTGATATGGAGCTGCTGAGTTTGCCAGATTATTCCTATTTGGGTCTTCTCTTCTATGTTGCTTCGTGTTTATGATACTATGCCTTGTGGTAATCCTCTTTTATTGGCCCCCAGATGTTTTGTGTTTGACTATGGAAATGGATTAAAATCTGTTGGTAGATTTCTCTCTTCCTACTCTTTCTGGATAATTATAGAAGTATGTCACTACTTTTTTATTCTAATATTCCTCTCTTAACTCGAGGACAAGAAGCATGAGAAGCTCCACTCTTCAGCGTCATTAAGTGTTAAGAGTATCATCATAGGAGTCACCCATTATCTATCGATTCATCATCTTATATTCACAGTAAAGATATGATCACCTTGTTCCAGTTCCTTCTTTTTTTTTTTCACTTCCAATATTTCACCTTCCCCTTCTTGACTATGCAGGTTATTGCGGAACGTGATTATGCTCCAGGCGATCAGGTCCAACTTGAATTCTCCTCTTGCAGCTAAATATTGATCTTCAATCTTCTAAATTTTCTTCTTCTCTTTTCTTTTTTGATTTTAAATTGCAGCATGGAACTGAGTGATGAACCTAGTGTTTATTAATTGTATTGCCAAATTGATTTCTATTTTGGTTATGCCATCTGTACACACTGGATCTAGCTAGTTGGACATCAGAGCTCTGATTCTCAGTTACATTTTGCTCAAAAATACACAACCTGCCAATTTATTTAGTCCTCGTGCAGCCAAGATTTACATTCTGTGTTACTAATGTTTCATGTGAGACTGGTACATTCAAGTCTTGTTAAAATAGCCAATCTTGGTTTTGATTGTCAATTTCTGTTCAGGTCCTGATAAGGTATGGAAAGTTTTCTAATGCTACACTCTTGTTGGACTTCGGCTTTACACTTCCTCACAACATATATGATCAGGTTAGCCTAAAGCTTGAAATTAGAAATGTCCACCATGATTTGTTTTTGGGAAAAGTGTGTACTTATTTTCTCAGATAATATGTATGATAGTTTCTGTATACCATTTTTGTATTCTTTCTGTTTTTGGCTGAACGTGTATACTTTTCTGCAGGAAATGCCATTTTACATCCATGTTTTAATATTTTATTCATATTGCTTGAAGAAGAAATTTTCGTGCTAAAGTAGGAAATTTTGTTGCAAAGCCAGAGTTGAAAACTGGAGTTTGACTACTCAGCCAGTTTACTGAATATGGGATTCTATGGTGCATGTATATAAATATAACATGATTTTTGTCTCTAAGTTGTGACTCGGAAGTGAAAAATATGCAATTTAAAATTGATTTATATGCCGCCTTTACCCAAATATCTTAGCGTGGCTTTACTTTTGTTGCTTTCAGAATTATACTGTGATGCCAACATTTTGCTGAGATATAACATTTGAAGTATTAGGTGTCCAGAGTATTCTTTGATTTAAACTTCTTTCAAAAGATATAAACCTTCTGACTAAACTGAAGATGTCAACGAGAGGCTCAATTCTTAATGAATTGTCGAAATCAGTTACAACAGTCGATTTTGCTTGAATTGGTGTAGATATTTATTTCATGTGGCTTGATAGCATGTAGTTATGCTCTGTTGTTAGTTGATACTATCAAAAGCCTAAGAAACCGAGAGAGAGGTTCTTTTTGGAAAAACTTGCTCCTTTGGTTTACCCTTTTCTCATTATATATTTGGTATCCCCTCTTCACAAGGAAAGGTAACTATATGCTATATATATGTTATACAATCCCTAAGAATCAGCTAGCATAACAGAAAGATAAAGATGAAGATAAAAATAATTCCTAATTATATATGTTAACAGATTTGGAAAAACTTGCTCCGTTGGTGCAGCCCTTTTCTCATTAATCATTATATATCGGGTATCCCTTCTTTACAAGGAAGGTAACTGTATGCTATGTATATGATATACAATCCCTACTAATCAGCTAGTATAACAGAAAAGATAATTCCTAATGATACATTAACAGATTATCATTATACATGAAATAATTTCCTTGTTTTGGTTGTTTTCACATCTTTTTAAAGGTATCCGGGACATTTGAAAATAGGTGAAGCAAGTACAAGGTTTTGAACAGTATACTATTTAACTGGCATTGGTTGCACGGATATAGAGTAAGAACTTGAGATTTTCCGTGCACTCCTAGATAAAACTAAATGGTGCTGCTCTAATTACTAGTAAATCCCAGTAAAGATATGCATATCTGTTTGAGGAATGCTGGGATTAATATACAATTGTATCTAGCTTCTTGCTTTTGTTCTAATTTACTAAATGCAGTCTGTACATGTGTGATATTTTAAACATGGGACAACTGCTTTCTTAATCTACTCCAAATTGTGGCTTCATCCTGATATACAGACATCATTCACCCAGGTTCAGATTGAGCTTAATGTGCCACATCATGACCGACTTTGTGCGATGAAATTGGAACTTTTGAATAGATATCGAGCCCCAAGCATAAAAGATGTTAATGTGTTCAGCTCTTCTGGCAACTCCTTCACAATCAAGTTGGTGCCTTTGTCTTGCAACAGTGATGTCATTTAACATTCGTTGCATTATTCTTTCTGTGGATTGAGAACAAAAGTTAACAAAGACAAGAAAACTTGGAAAGCACTAAAAGCACTTTCCTTATTGTTCACCAATTGATTTTTGAGGATCTGAGGAGAACTTGAAACAATTTTGATGCTGACTGAAAGGATATGGTTACCATAAATAGTGCTCACGAGAAAAAGAGCAAGATTTGAAATTGTCTATTTCTCACTTCGCTGCCCTTGTGGTTCAGTCTCCACAGTTGGATAGGGTGATGTCCTATATGAATGGAGATTTATGGTTGGTCTTATCTTATGCAGGTGTATCCAAGTGAAACATTGTTAAATATCAATAAGATTAGGCCCTTGTTTGGGAGAGATTTTTTCAAATTTTGTTTTTAACCAAATTCATTTCCAACCACAATTTCTCCAAAAAAAATTTATTTTTAGGTTTTGTCATTTTTCTCTACTTTTTAATACAAATTCTCCAAAAAAAGAAATCATTTTTCGGATGGAAAAATCTCTCCCAAACGAAATTTAAATTAGTTTTGTTATGGGTTAATTAGCGTCTAATATACACATTAATAATACGAGATTATATCAACATATAAATAAAATTGTAAAAAGATTGCTACAATTAGAAGAAAATTGAATGTTGAGCTGTTTCCCTTCTAGGTTAAATATAGCCCCCGTTTGAGCCCCATTATTTCTCATTACATTAAATTAAATTTTTCTCTCTCCTACTTTTAACCACACAATCTTCAACAAAATAATATGACACGTAAATAAAAAAATTTTCAACCACTCATTTAAAAAAAAAAAA